GTAGTAGTAGTAGTAGTAGTAGGAGTAGTAGTAGTAGTAGTAGTAGTAGTAGTAGTAGTAGTCGTAGCAGTAGAGTGGGGATACGAATCGGTAGTAGCACTAGTCGTGCGAGTAATAATACGAGTAGTATAAGCAGAAGTACTACAGGTAGTACAAGTAGTCGTACGAGTACTAGTACAGAGTCGTAGCACTATGGAAGTAGAAGTACTAGTAATACTTGTACTACTGCTAGACTAGTAGTAGTGCCATTGGAGTAGTCGTAGTAGTAGTAGTAGTAGTAGTAGTAGTAGTAGTAGTAGTAGTAGTAGAAGTAGCAGTAACAGAACAGTATCAAGTAGTTAGTAGTAGTAGTAGTAGTAGTAGTGTAGTAGTTAGTAGGAGTAGTAGTCGTCAGTCGTAGTAGTAGTCGTAGTAGTAGTAGTAGTAGTAGATAGTAGTAGTAGTAGTAGTAGTGGTGGTGGTTGGTGGTGGTGGTGGTGTGGTGTTGGATGGTGGTGGGGTGTGTGGTGGTGGTCAGTAGTTAAGTAGTAGTGAAGTATACGACTAATAACGGCCCTCCAAGAGCCTGCACAAGCAAAAACCTCCCAGGCATTCGTCACCCCAGGGCCTCCTGGAACGCCCCGGCGCCCAATGAATTGGCGAGCTAAAAACGTGCGCCGAGCCAAAGCGGGAGCGCAATTTTGAGAAAATTTCGCTCGGCGCCCAAGCGGGAAGGTCATTTCATTCACTTAGAGCGGGGGGGGAGGAGGGTGTGCCGCGCCCAATTCTTGCCATGCGCTTTTGCGGGGTGGACGACAAGAACAGCTATGTGGGCAGGGAAAATCAGCATGGCATTGCTTCTGACAAGTAAGGTGGCCCCTCCCGCCTTGGGGTTGCCCCAGAAGTCCGCGCGCGATGTGCGCCGCGCCCACTTCCTGCCACGCATTTCGCATCGTCGACGACAAGACAGGCCATGATGAAAGGAAAAACGGCAACTCAGGATGGGAGGGCCCGCGGCCCGCATGGACGTCTGCGCGCGATGTGCGCCGCGTCCCATTCCTGCCACATATTTCGCACCGTCGGCGACAAGGCAGGCCATGCTGAGAGGAAAAAGCGGAGACTTTGTATTGATTTTTTGCAGTCAGGATGGGCGGGCCCGGATTGACGGCCGCGCGCGATGTGCGCCGCGTCACATATGTGCGCCGCGTCCCACTGCTGCCACATATTTCGCACCGTCGGCGACAAGGCAGGCCATGCTGAGAGGAAAAAGCGAAGACTTCGTATTGATTTTTTACAGTCAGGATGGGCGGGCCCAGATTGACTGCCGCGCGCGATGTGCGCCGCGTCCCATTCCTGCCACGTTTTTCGCATCGTCGACGGCAAGAAAGACGAGGTTGAGAAGAACAACGGCCACTTTGCATTGATTTTAAAGTCCGGATGGGAGGTCCCGGATCGGGTTGCTATCGGCCGGAATACGAGGTAGGTGGGGGTATATAATAGGAGGAACCAGGATGTGGGTGTGGTCTCTCTCTCTCTCTCTTTCCATTTGTTGTTTCTCTTTTCCATCTCGCTTTCTTCGGGGGGAGCAATGCGAGGGACTCGGTGCGGCGGCGCCAGGGGATCGACACCGTCGACTTCCCCGAGGGCCACTGCTGGTGTGGCGCGCCCAGGGGTTCTGGGCTGGTTGGGGGTTGTGGCCTTCCTGCTGTGCGGGGAAGGGGGGGAAGGGGGAGGAGGGGGAAAGGGACAAGCACGGGGAGGGGGGAGAACCTAGGAGAAGGGAGGAGAAAAGAAGGCAGAGGCTCCTCCCTCCTTCTCCCGCCTCTGCCTTCCTCCTCCTCCTCCTCCTCCTGATCCGCAACTGCCTTCCTCCTCCTCCTCCTCCTCCTCCTCCTCCTCCTCCTCCTCCTCCTCCTCCTCCTCCTCCCCCTCCTCCCCCTCCCTCCTGCATCCCTCTTCTTACAGACACCTCCCCTCCTGTCGCACCCTGGGACGTGTCAGTAGCGCGGGCTGGGCATTTAGCATGGGATTTCCTCACCATGTATGATCCTGAAGCTTCTTTTTTTCGCAGCCGCTACACTGGTAGACGCGTGCCGTTTCACACGACTGGGTGCATTCCGTTTTCGGGATGGAATTCTCGCCTTAGCGCCGCGCGCACTTATTTGAAGAGTTTGCGTTCGCTACGGGGTTTCAGGGTCGTGCTCGTGTTTTTTAATGGTGCTCTCGCCTTTGCGCCGCGCGCATTCGTTTCATACGCGTGCTAACTTTAGACGGATCGGGGGGGTCTAAATGGTACCCTCGTCCTAGCACCGCGCACATCTGTCGTCAACGCATGTAGGAATGATCAGGATAGGAGGGGCGGTTTTCATGTAATGCTCCTCTTTCCATAGATCGGCGTTTTTGTTCTCTATCTTTGGAGAGGATGTGCGACGGTTTCGTTTCACCATAGTGCTCTCCTCTCTTCTGAGCTTGACGAACATTCGTGTTAACTGTTTGTAGCAACTACAAGGAGTGAGGGCGGCCTATTTTCAAAATGCGGCGATCGGCTATCGCTTGAAAATTTTATATACATTCCAGAAACTGCAACATATGTAGCTGCTGCAAAGGTGGAGGACGGTTCCTTCTCAACGTGGGGCTCTTGTTCGAAGTTTCCTCGAAACTCGTGGCCGGAATGTCAAAATCGTGGAACAGGTACAGTCGGGGCGTTGAAGAAGGAACCCTTCTCGTTGGCGAGGGGCTCGGTGTTCCTTGAGTGCTTCGCAGCTTGCCCCAGGCTTCCCTTCAGTTTCCGATAGGAAGTCGAAGGTTGACTTATAGAAAAAAGGGGTCTCGTTCCTTATTTAGGGTTCCTTGAGTGTTCCTTGAGTGTTCCTTGAGTGTTTCACAGCTTGCCTCAGGATTTCCTTAAGTGTCCATGGGGAATCGAAGTTTAGCTTATAGAAAAAAGGGGGCTCGTTCCTTATGTAGGGTCCCCTAGGTCAACGCCCCGGCTGTGCTTCGACTGCGGGCGGGGGCCGCCTTCAAAGCGCGGGGAGCTCGCTGGACACCTCGTGGAGTGGTGCGGCCTCGCCCCTTCTTTTGTATTCCCCTGGCATCGCTCGGACGTGTGCATTTTTCCTTCCGCGAGGGCCATCGAGGAGCATCCTCGATCATTTGGCGAACAAGCCACGCACGAAACCGAAAAAAAAACACAGGGAATGGACGTCCGAGCGATGGCGAGCTCCTGCCTGCGAGCTGGACAGACGCAGCGCGGTTCCTACAGCTGGCCACGCCCTCGCTGGGAGGCTGCTGGTCTTTCAAGGGGCGCCCCTTGTTGCGAAGAGGATATCGCTGGACACCTCGTGGAGTTGTGCGGTCGCACCTTCTTGGATTCCTGCCTGCGAGCTGGACAGACGCAGCGCAGTTCCTTCAACTGGCCACGCCCTCGCTTGGAGGGCAGGCCCGTGGGCTGCTGGCCTTTCAAGGGGCGCTCCTTGTTGCGAAGAGGAGCAGCATCGCCAGTGCATCGGGCTCCCTCTGGCCAGCCTCCTTTCCCTACCAGGGAGGACAAGAAGAGGCGCAGGCATAAACCGTTGGGTACCCGCGCGGATTTCTTGGATCCGCTTTGGGCCCCCTCCCTGGCGCGCGCGCGCCAGGGGCGGCGCTAGAAACGTCGCCGGGGGGGTCCAACGCTTCGCTCTCCTTCTCTTTATGCTCCTTCCTTCCCTGCCGGCGCTGGGGCGAACGGGCGTCGGGGACGCAGGGGCTTTGGGGGGGCCTCTCGGGGCGGAGAGGTAGGATGTTCGGTTCGTGTTCTCCCTCTTGGCCTCTCTTGGGGCGATCTTCGGCCGTCTTGGGCCTTTCTTTCGCCCATCTGGGGGCCCTCTTGGGTCTTCCTGGGGCCCGCGTAGGGGCCTCTTGGGCAGTCCTGGGGCGATCTCAGAGGCCTCGTGGGCCGTCTTGGAGAGTCGGAATCTCGAGAAGACGAGCTCGAGAGGATGGTAACCCCAGAAAGAGTGAGCAACCTAAGGAAAATTGTGGTTCGGGAAGGCTCTTGGGGCTCTCTTGGGGCGCCTCGAAGGGCCATCGTGGGCGTCTTGGGCCAGCTGTTCGGCGATTCGGGACCGTCTTGGCAAGTCTTTGAGGCCACTGAAGTAGATCTGGAGTCTTCGGAGTCTCCAGGGAGGCGCTGGGGAGCTCGTGCACCCCCCTCTCTCCCCTACGCGAGATTTTGGGCCCTGGCGAAAAGGCGGTGCCGAACAGCGCCGCGCACGGTCGCGCGCGCCGAAGGCACTTTGGAAGTGCCTTCGGGGCGGCGCAGGGGCGACAAAAATGTCGGCGTTTGCGTGCCAGGGCATTCTCTTTTGCGGAGTTGGGCGCCCTGGCGCGGACGGCCGAACGACCCCTCCAGCAGGACACCCTGGCAACGCGGTCGCCGCCGCAAAAACTGCCCCTTCAACGCTGGCGCCGGGGCAGGGGGGCAGCCGTGATTTCGTTTGCGATGCACCGCAGAGCATGCGTCCACACCCAGTACTCCAGGCCATCGCGCAGCGAAAGATCGGGAGGAGGGCAAGGAATGTTGACTGCACAGGTACTGCATATCTCTGCGTCGACATGTCTGCGGCATGTCTGCCGACCCTGACAAGAATTCCTGTGTCATTTGGTTTCCGGATTGGGCTTTTGATTACGCACCCGCCCTGCCCGTTACCAGTGATGAGGAGGGAGGAAGATGGAGATGATTAGGAGGACGGGATGAGGAGAAACGGGGGGGGTGCAAAGGCGTGTTCGACCTGCAACCTGCATGGCGAAGTGGCGCACGCTGCGCGTCCCCCTCCCCCCCCCCCCTCTCCCCGAGTGAGGAATGCTGTCGCTCCGCCTCCCCACTTTGAACTGTATGCGAATGCGTTATCTGCTGAAGCTTCCCTTCTTCTGCATGCCCTCCATATGGGGCGTTCCGACAAGAGCCTTGCCCTCGAGGGTCGAGGGAGTTGTCATCTCTTCCGCGGCGGAAGGGCGGCGGAAGTAAAACGAGTCCGCCTCCGCCGGCGGAAGCCAGCGGAAGAGCGGCGGAAGGTGGCGGAAGTGAGACATGCGCCCCCAATCGATGACAACGTTTTTGGGTTCAGGGTTTCCGGCATCCGCCAAATTTGTCCAGGATGATTTCTCCTAGGCCGCTCTCCTTCGCCATCTTCTCGCTCTTCTTTCTTACTTGCCCCCCAGTGGTTCCTCCTCCATTGCCCTTTCTCGTTCCTACCCCTGGTCCTCCATCATCCATCCTCGATTGTCCCTCCTCCCGTCTCTTCCGTCCTCTTCCTCACTCCTCCCCTTCCTCCATCATCCTTCCTCCCCCTCCACCCTCTCCTGTCTCACACGTCTCCTTCTTCCTCCTCCTGGCCCCCCTCCGCTTCATCCTCACGCCCATGGTTCCTCTATCCTCCCCCCCTTTCGTTCCTCCATCATCCTCCCTCCTTCTCTTTCTTTTGCCCTCCAACTTCCCCCCAGATCCTCCCCCATCTACCTCGCTTCTCTCCTTCTTCCTCCACCCCTCCGCCCCCTCCTTTCTTCCTCCTCGTTATTTTTCGTGTTCTTCTGACTCGTCTTATTATTATTATTATTAGTAGTAGTATTAAGATTTATTATTATTATTAGTATTATTACCATTATTATTATTATCATCATTATTATTGTTATTATTATTATTAGTATCATTATCATTATTATTAATATTATTATTATCATGATTAGTATGATTATTATTATTAATAATAGTAATAGTATCATTATTATTGTTATTATTATTATTATTATTAATAGTATTATTATTATTAGTATTATTATTATTGTTATCATTATTATTATTATTGTTATTATTATTATTATTATTATGTTTCCTGCCCCCTCCTCCTCCTCCTCCTCCTCCTCCTCCTCCTGTTCCTGCTTCTCCTTCTCCTCCTCCTCCTCCTCCTCCTCTCCTCCCCTCCTTCCTCCTCCTCCTCCACCTCTTCCTCCTTCCTCCCTAACTTATCCTCTCTCATTTCCCTGCTTTGTTTCCCTTCTCCTCCTTTTCCTGCACCTCCTCTCTACCTCCTCCCCTCTTCCCTCCTCCCTCCCTCCCGCCCTACGTCCTCGCCCCCTTCCCCCCCCTCCTCCCTTCCCTCCTCCTCCCTCATCGTCGAGCGCGCCGCTGGTATTCCTCCTGACCCCCCCCTCCTCGCCTCCTCATCATCCCTCCACCATCGCCGCCCCCTCCGGCCGCGAGACTTCGTGCGCGGCCTCTGCGCCGACAAGCCGGACCGCCGACTGCCTGCCCTTCCTGGAGGGACGAGGAGCACGCCGCGGGGGGGGCTGCGACGACGACGACGACGAAATCGACGACGACGACGACGACGACAACGAAAACGACGACGACGACGACGGCGGCGGCGGCGACGGCGACGGCAGCGGTGGCGCTGGGGGTGGGGGGGGGATTCGGCCGCGGATGGCGGAGGGAGGGGGGCTCGCCTCGCTTTTTGCTTCCCCCCGCCCTCCCCTCTGCCCCGCGCGCAGGGGTGCTCCACTGCGTGGCCAGGAGGAGAGCGGGAAGGTTGGGACGGGGAGGGAGGGCGACGACGACGACGACGACGACGACGACGACGACGACGACGACGACGACGACGACCACGACGACGACGACGACGGCGACGGCGACGGCGTTGGCGACTTCGACGACGACTTCGACGACGACGACGATCACGACCATGGCGGCGGCAGCGGCGGCGGCGGCGGCGGCGACGGCGCTGGCGCCGCCAGCGTTGGCGGTGGACTGGCCGCGGAGGGCGAGAAGGATCGAACCTTTTCAGTGTTCCGCGCGCAAAAGGTGCCGTGCCACGTGGCGGGGATAAATGGGGGAGAGGCTGCCTTTTGGTTCGGTCCCGGTGCCTTCGATCGTGGCGCACACAGATCTGCGAGCCTCCTCTCTCTCCCTGCTTCTTTGTGGTGTGTTTTTGCTTGCGCAGTGGAGTTGCAACGGCGTCTTCCCTCTGACGGTTGTTGGCCCTCGGGGTCGCTATGAGCCAAGTGGTGTTGTAGCACACGTAACTAGCTTCCTTGCACGCGCGCGACAGTGCCTGCGGACGGACCAAACAAACAAACAACAATCCATGTATTCAGGTGCGCCGATGATCTATGTCTTCGAAAAAGGCTTCCGGGCGAATGCGTGCAATGCCCGCCCCTTGGCTATTCGTCCTTGTCGTGGCCGCCGCTCGCGCGGCGCGGTGGGTGTCAGAGGGCCAGGTTGCGGGAGCCCAAGCACCGAGAGAGGCCCACACGGTTTTTTGGGCGGTCGCGGCCTCGCGCGCGGCGGGCGAGGAGGCGGAGGAAGGCGTGGCGGTGGGAGCGGGCGCGCGCGGCAAGGCCCTCCGTTTTGGATCGCCGCGCACAAAAGACATCTGTGGGGGAACACACACACACACACACACACACACACACACACACACACACACACACACACACACACACGTGGCAAAAACACACAGTCTGTGTCCGTGTTTTTTTCTGTGTGTGTGTGTTTGTGTTTTTGTTCCCACAGTTTCTTTTTTTTCCCACATGAATTTTCGGAGGTCCGCGCAGATTTCTTGGATCGGCGCTGGACCCCACTGGCAGCCCCTCTGGAGCCGCCCCTTGCGCGCTCCGCGCGCCAGGGAGGGGGTCCAGCGCCGATCTGAGAAATTCGCGCGGACCTCCGTACGTTTGTGTGTATGCCGTTTTTGCTCTTGTGGCGAATGGGTAGAAGTGGCCACGCGGGTGGGGATGGTTCGCACGCCAGGTTGGCGGGGGGGGGGGGGGGGGAACGGCCCCCGAGAACGGGCGCGTGACCTGGTGGGGTCAGAAGGCCACGCTGGCGGGAATGATTTGCAACTCAGTGCCCGAAGACCTTGTGCCAGATGCAATAGCAATGTGTAAGTATGACGCATAATGCACATGTATCTACATGTATGTATCTGCACACATGCACATTCAGAATGCACGCCACTGGATCACCCTGTAATTGAAAGGCGGGGTGCTCGCAGATCCCCCCCCCCTTTAAAAGGGGGGGGGAGATGTTCGACCACCCCCCTGCTTGGCGCTGGAAAGGAGCGGGGGGGGTTCGGACCCCCCCCCCTCCCCCCCTTCGCGCCGGACACAGAGCCGGCGAGGGGGCCTCTACCGCTGCTCCTTTCTGCGCCGGAGAAGGTGGGTAGGGAGTATGGAAGGGAACAGTGAGTAGTGAGAAGTGAGTAGAGAGTAGCAAGTAGTGAGTAGTGAGTAGTGGGTAGTGAGTAGTGCGTGGTGAGTAATGAGCACTGCGTACTGAGTTCTGAGTACTGAGTACTGAGTAGTGAGTAGTGATTAGCGAGTAATGAATAATGAATACTCAGTAGTGAGTAGTTAGTGGTGAGTACTGAGTTGGGAGTAGGGAGTACGGAGTAGTGAGTAGTGAGTAGTGGGTAGTGAGTGGTCGGTGGTGAGTAGTGAGTAGTGAGTAGTGGGTAGTGGGTAGTGCGTAGTGGGTTGTGAGTAGGGAATACAGAGTAGTGATTAGTGAGTGGAAAGTAGTGAGTAGTGAGTAGAAGCTAGCGAGTATGGAGTAGTGAGTAGTGAGCACTGCGTAGTGAGTAGTGAGTAGTGAGTAGTCAGTAGTGGATAGTTGGTAGTGGGTAGTGAGTAGTGAGTAGCGAGTAGGGAGTAGCGAGTAGAGAGTAGTGAGAAGCGAGTAGTGGGTAGTGGGTAGTGGGTATGGAGCAGGCAATAGTGAGTTATGAGTAGTGAGTGGCGAGTAGGTAGTAGCGAGTAGTGAATAGTGAGTAGTTAATCGTGAGCAAGTAGGGAGTAGGGAGTAGTGTGTACTGAGATACGAGAAGTGGGTGGCTAGTAGTGGGAAGTGAGTAGTGACTGGTGAGTAGTGAGTATTGAGTAGTGAGTAGTGAGTGGAGAGCAGTGAGTAGTGAGTGGTGAGTAGTGACTAGTGACTAGTGACTAGTGACTAGTGAGTGGGCAGTAGTGAGTAGTGAGTAGCGGGTGGCAAGTAGGGAATAGCGAGTAGTGAGTGGTGAGTAGTGAGTAGTAAATAGCGAGTAGTGAGTAGTGAGTAGTGCGTAGTGAATAGTGCGTAATGGGTAGGGAGTAGGGAGCAGTGAGTAGTGAGTAGTGAGTAGTGAGTAGTGGATGGTAACTAGTGAGTGTTGTATATCGGTAACCGAGTAGGGAGTAGCGAGTAGTGAGTAATGAGTAGCGAGTAGAGAGTAGCGAGTAGAGAGTAGCGAGTGGAGAGTAGTGAGTACTGAGTCATGAGTAATGAGTAGTGCGTAGTGAGTAGGGCGTAGTGAGTCGTGAGTAGTGGATAGTGGGTAGTGAGTAGTGAGTAGTGAGTAATGGGCAGTGAGAAGTGCGTAGTGAGTAGTGAGCAATGAGTATAGAGTAGTGATTAGGGAGTAGTGAGTGGGAAGCACCGAGTAGTGAGTAGTGGGTAGCGGGTAGTGAGTAGTGAGTATCGAGTACTGTTTGGGGCTCGGGCTTGGGGTTGGGTTTAGGGTTTGCGGTTACGGTGAGGATTATGGCTAGGGGTGGTAGGAGGGGTCTGGTTCAGGGGGCGGCGTGGCGGGGGGGAAGGGGGGGGAGGGGGGTCGAATTTCGAGCCCACGGGGGGCGTTCCCGACGACGGACCGGGAAAACGGGAGGGGGGTCCCCGACGACGGACCGGAAAAAGGGGGGGGGATTTCCCGACGACGGACCAGGGGAAAGCGGGGGGGGGGAGGGGTTCCCCCCCCCCTGGGGAGATCCAGCGGCGCGCCTTCGTACTTTCATATATGTGTTCCTTTGTTTGTTTGACTCCCTCTGGCTATCTTTCGCACCTTATCTGGCTCGGTTGGTATTTATGCCCCGCTGTTCGTCCTTTCGCCCGTTTCCGGGCGTCGCCTTACCTAGCTCAGATGCTTCCTCCTCTCTCTCTCTCTCGCTCTCTCTCTCTCTCTCTCTTTTTTATCTCTCTCTCTCTCTTTTTTTCCTCTCTCTCTCTCTCTCTCTCTTTCTGTATAATCAGACATATACACACATAGTTATACATGTGTACACATACACATATCTATATGTATTATATATGTATATATTTCTCCGCTCTCTGTTTCCTCTCTCCCTCTCTCTCTATCTCTCTCTCTCTCTCTCTCTCTCTCTCTCTCCCTCTCCCGCACCCTCGCGGTTCTCGCTACGATCCGCTTTTCCTCTTCGAGCTCTCCTCCCGTCCTTCCTCTGCTCCCTCTCCGTTCGCGTCCTCCGCTCCCGCCCGCCCCCGTCCTGCTCTCGTCTCTTTCTCCGTCGTCGTCTCTGCCTCCGCCGCCCTGCCTCCCTCCCCGTCTCTGACCTCGGCGCTCCCCCCCTCCTGATCTCTGGCAGTGTCCCTCCCTCCCTTCCTCTCTGCCTCTCGTCCCTTCGGCGCTCGACCCCTTGCTCGTGCCCTTCCTCCCTCCCCCCCCTCTCACCCCCTCTCTCTCTCTCGCTTTGTTCGTTTCTCTCTCTCTCTCTCTCTCTCTTTCTTTTTTTGTTTCGTCTCTCTCTATATATATATATAATATTTCCCTCTCTGTCTCCGTCTCTCTCTCTCTCTCTGTTTCTTTATTTTTCTCGTTTCTTTTCCTTTTTTTTTCTCTCTCTCTCTCTCTCTCTCTCCTCTCTCGGCCGCGCCCATCCCGCGCCCGCTGTAGGAACATCACGGAGCAAGACTGGTTCGAGGAGGCGGACTTCAACTGGGAAGCGCTCCGGAAGTGTCAGATGCAGCCCCCGACCCGCCGCTTCCATCCGGAGAGATTGCGATTGGCGGGGGAAGGAGGCGGTGAGGCAGGAGGAGGGAGAGCGGGCAGTGCCAGGGGTGGGGTCACAAGTTGGGGGGTCACATCACCCCTTTTACCGTCAGTCGAGGAGCCACAGGGAGGCACGAACGGTGGCCGAAGAGGTCTGGGGGACGTTGTGGGCATCCCTGGGAGGCCTGCGGGGTCCCAGGGGGGTCCGTTTCCTCGAGGAGACGGCGAGCCCTCTGTGGTGCCCCCCCCCCCCCCCGGGGCACTGCCTGCAGGTCGCTGCCCCTTCGGACGGCGCCCCTAATGGGGTCCCCCTGAGCCAGGAGGAGAGGAGGAGGAGGAGGAGGAGGAGGAGGAGGAGGAGGAGGGAGTCAGAGGGGGAGGACGAGGGAGGAGGAGGAGGAGGAGGAGGAGGAGGAGGAGGAGGAGGAGGAGGAGGAGGAGGAGGCCACATCAAATGAGGCGTTCCAGAAAGGGCCTCGTCTTCGCTGCCGTCCCTTCCTCGGCGGAGGGCGGCGGAAGTAGCGCGGGGGCGGCTCCGCTGGCGGAGGCCGGCGGGAGGTGGCGGAAGTAGAAGATGCGCCCCCAAGGGATGACAGCGTTTTTGGGTTCGGGGCTCCCAGACCCCCGACGTAATGATTTTTTCATTACGTCGACCCCAGAGGTCTCGACCCCTTCTCCAGGACCGGTTTTTCGTCCCGAATCGTTCTTTGACGTTCCCGAGGCCCGGTGAGGGCCCCCGGAAGCCGAAAATAGCGAAAAACCTCCCGTCGTGATTTTTTTACGACGCCAGGAGGTCTGGGTGTCAGGTTGTGTTGATCGCCTGGCCAGGAGCACGGTGACCCCTTTGCGGTGCCCCCCCCCAAACCTCCCCTCCTTGCACTGCACTGCAGGTCGCCCCCTCTGACGTCGCCCCTGATGGGGGGGGGGTGAGCGCGCCCCTCGTCGTCGTCGTCGTCGTCGTCGTCGTCGTCGTCGTCGTCGCCGTCGTCGTCGTCGCCGTCGTCGTCGTCGTCGTCGTCGTCGTCGTCGTCGCCGTCGTCGTCGCCGCCGCCCCTCGTGGGGGACGGCGGCGCCGCCGCGCCGCGGGCCCTCGCGGGGGCCCCGCGCCGCGCCGCGCGGCGGAGGGCGGCCCGCCCGCCCCTCTCCCTGCGGAGCGCGCGCGGCGCGGGACGGCCGCCGCCTCGCGGCCCTCGCCGCGGCGGCGTTCTGCGCGGCGCCGGGCGCCCGCGGGGGGCACGCGCGGCAGGGCGGCGGGGACCCAGAGCGCCGCCGCCCCCAGGAGACTGCCAGCGGCGGGCCCGGACCCCCTCGAGCCACGAGAAAGTCACGACGGGAGGTTTTTTTCGCCATCTTCGGCCTCCGGGGGCCCTCCCCGGGCCTCGGGAGCGTCAAAA